TGAGCTTGCGCTGTGCTGATCCGTGCAGGACAAGATGGTAAAATTTGGGGTTTACCCTCCCAAGGGGGGCGAGCACCGGCGTGTTGTGTGCTGGTGAAAGGGTGAGACCGGGAGCGGGTCTGCCATGTCAAGGGATCCCAGGCTGGTGGGTCAGGCGGGCTCAGTGGGACCCCAGTTCCAAGTGGCACCCCAGGGGGAACCTGTCACACCCTCCAGCCCCCCAACGCCTCATCCCCGTCCCCCCGGCTCTGGGGGCCGATCGCCCCCTCCCCCTGGCCCAGGGACCCCCGAACGCACCGGGGTCGTGGAAGGGGACGAGCAGGTAGAAGTCGGGTTCCTCGGGCCCCCCCAGCCGGCGGGTGAGGATGTCGCGGGCCTGGAGCCGGGCGGCGCCGATCTCCTCGCCCATGCTGCCCGTGGTGTCCAGCACGAAGCTGAGCCCCACGGCGGGGCTGATGTCCAGCAGCCTGTGGGGCAGGGGGGCAGAGACGGACACTCAGTCACAGGCGGGGCCCACCCAGGAGGAAACGTGGGTGGGGGGCGACGTTGCGAGGGATGGGGCCAAGCAGGGGGACGTGACCCTGGATCCAGATGTGGGGGCTGGGGCCGAGTTGGGTGTGGGGGCCGGGGCCGAGCGGGGGGACGTCACCCCAGGATCCGGGTATGGGGGCCAGGGCCAAGTAGGGGGACGTCACCCCGGATCCGGGGATGGGGCCGATACAGGTGTGGGGGGCAGGTGGACATCACCCCACGAGCTGGGTTTGTGGGATAGGGCCGATCCGGGGGGGGGTCTGAGCGGGGGAGGGGCGGAGGGGTCGCAGTGGGGGGCTCTCACCTCATGAATCGCTTGTCGTGGGCCAGGTCCCGCCGCAGGTCGCGCAGGAACCGGGCCGAGGCCTCGAGGGCCAGGCCGGCCGCCGGGCCGTGCAGATAGTGGTGCGGGGAGAAGAGGGGGGACGAACTGTCCTTGTTTATCCCCCCTTGGGGGTCCTGCAGGCGGCTGCTGTCGAACTGCCCCCCGTGGCTGCATTTCCCTGCGGGCGGGGGCACGGAGGAGATGGGGTCCAATTAGCCGCCCTGCTCCCCTAAATCTGCCCCCCAGGGCCCCCCAAAACCCCTCCCCATTAAAATCTCCTCCCACATTGTCCTGCCTGTTTTTTGGGGTCACCCCCTCTGATGCCCCCCATTACCCCAATATCATCAACCCCAATCCTGCTCCCCTCGCAAAGGCACCCCCAATTATTGGGGTCACTGTCTTTGCCCCCCAAACCCGTTCGCTCTCAGTATTATTGGGTGCTCGTCGCCTGCAGCAGAACTCAGCGGCATCCCCGTAAATTATTGGGGTCCTGCCCTCTGCCCCCCCAACCTAACCAGGAACCCCAAATCAGCAAGCTTCATAGCCCCCCCCAGACATTGGTATCACCCCTTAAAATCTTGGGGGCCCCTCCCTGATGCCTTGGCACACACCAGGCATGCACCCCAATAAGCCCTCCCCCTGGGGGGGTCACAGCCCCCCTTTGTTCTCTCCGCACCTGCAAACTGTTGGGGTGCTGGTCAATGCCGCGGCCCCCCAAGCTGTGGGCAATCGGGGGCTGTGCAGGGGGGAGGAACGGGAGGGTCTCCCCTACCCGTGGAGAACGGTCACCCCCAAACCGGGCCCAGCCGAGCCGTACCGGGCGGTTTCTCCGGCTCGGAGCCGAAATACCCGCTGGTCAGTAGCCCGCGCTCCCGGAGCGAGCCCAGGAGGTTCCCCTCGCACGTCCAGCCGGTGCAGGAGCAGCAGGTCCGGACGTCGGCTGCGGGAGAGACGGGGAAAGGGGGGTCCGAAGGTGGGTCCGGCCGGACGCCTGGGTTCTATCCCCAGCGCAGCCCCGGAACCTCCCCTCCCCCGGGCAAGTCGCCGCTCCGTGCCTCAGTTTCCCCAGGAGAAAGGAGGAGAAATGATCTGTGTTACAACTGCAAGACA